GTGCCACAGGACTCTTTGCTGCTTTTACAGATCCAGACTAACACGGCTACCCCTCTGATACTTTTCTGAAAGGTGACATGGAGTAGGACCAGTCATAGATTCCTTAGTTAGAATGTCTCCCTTATACAAGAAACACCACAGAATGCACATACATCTGAGAATATTATTTATCTTTTCCTGTGGGTGTGATCTGGTGTCCATCTGATTACACACTATCAGCCCAAACCTTGCCTATGTCATTGCTTTCTGAACCTCATTCTTCCATTTTCTGCTTGCGCTTGACATTATTTTCCCCAAGCATATTATTTTCCATTTATCTAAATGAGTTTAAATGAATAAATGTAGCTAAAGTGCTATTGCCATTATACATGGCCTGACTGATTTCAGTATGTATATATTGAAAGATGATTGTCATGTGTACTTGGAAATGTCTAGCGGTTATTGGATGACTCAGCTGTTTTTATTTGGTCTTCTTAATGCCAATTTGTAATTTAATTTAATTGAACTCTTAGTCTTTCTACAAAATGTTTGGAACCCTAGCACCCTTTTTACACTTCATTTGATTATTTCACTAATATTTTAGCTATAGGTATATTAAATTGCCTATAAACTTACCAAAGAACAACACAGCTGATTTCCTCCATTATATTTTCTCATGTCTTCTCTGTCTGTCCATTTTTTATTCTCAGTTGACATTGTTATTTATGTCTCTGTTCATACACACTGGTAAAAGTCAGTGGCAAAGGGTCAGCATTAATGCCAGTGTTTAAAGGAGGTTAATAGAGACTCAGATGTGCACAACTGTAAGTGGTTTGAGGGTCCAGCAGAGAAGACAAGGAAAACTTATCAGTTATTTTAAAATCCCAGCATCACTAATTTAAAACAGTCTAGTCTTTAACATGTGTGTGTGGTCAACAGAGAGAGAAAAAAAGGAATTAAATAAGGACCACTGAAAAGTATTATGATTATCTTTTAAACTTAATACAAACTGGTCCTGATTCCAAAGTAAATGGGAGCTTTGCATAAATAAAGACTGCTTGATTCAGCCCATTCTGTACACATAATGGGCAGGTGATAATCACAACTCTTTATGACTGTCAAAGCAAATAACTGTGGTGCAGACCTTTTCAGTGTGTGGAGGTAATGCCAGTTTTGCCAGGCACCTAAAAAATAAATTCTGTAATGGATGCATATGAGCAACCCTGGGTGGTTTTATTCTCTCTAAAATCCAACGACAGCAAAGTATTTCACTGTTGATTAATACCCCGGTATATCTGACGGTATATTTTATAGACATTCAGATTTATTTACCATAATCCATTCATTAAATGTAAAACTTACGATTTAGGTATCTTTAGTGCCAGGCAAAAAAACATGAACAAAATGTAAATTGTTGATTAAGTGGTTTTACTTGTTTACAGAACAATTTCAGGCTGTTCATAGCAAATGTCACCAAGGATTAGCAATTCACACACCTCAAATAAAACTAATTCGTTTTTGAAAACTGTCTTCTAATTCTGTCCCTTTGACTTTTCAGAGTTTTTTAAATGTCTACTTTTTTCATAAAGATTTACAAAGCAGTACTTAAATCTAGGAAGAAAATGGCAATCCCAATCAACTGCACTGCAGAGAGAAAGTAGTCACACCTCTGTTATTTTCTACAATGTATGTTATATACGGTCTAAAACCAAGAATCTGTAAGGGCCCGATCCTGCTTCATTTCAATGTGACTTTGGCCTGAGTAAGGGCTCCAGGATCATACCCTATAAATGGCACCGTATTCTGCTCAGACTTCTACCCTGGATGTCAATGAATTTGAAAAGGCGTGTGAGTGAAGGGGGAAATTGCCCCATTAGGTTTATTTGACTGGAATCTGGAGAGTGACAGCCTTCTTGTGCCTGATCCTACTCCCATTCCACTCAATGGGAGTTTTGATACTGGTTTCACTGAGAATAGGATCAAGTCAATTATATTGGAAAACAAGCTTGTGATTATCACAAAAATTAAATAGCAGCCTTACAGACAATTAAGTGATGTATGTACAATTAAGTGATGTATGAATGTCAAATGATAAGGTACTATCAATCTGGCTGCAAATCAGTAACACACATTGAGCAAAAACAGAACATAACAAAGGAACCTAGACTACTTTCTTTTGAATGAAATACATGCTTTCTAGAAGTACAAGCACATTTCAGAATTCAGTACAACATATTATGATTAAGCATTTATAACAGTCAACTTTCTTTCTTTCTTTCTTTCTTGTATTAGTTAATAAAATAGTAACAATATCATGTATCATAAGAATCTCAAAACTCTGTCATCTCCTTTTTGATATACTTATTGTTAAAAACACAGTTTAAAAATGTCTTGGTTAAATAAAAACAAAATCTAGGTGGCAAAAAATATAAAACAAAATAGCCTCTTAAAAATCCCACAGTAGTAATACATTAAAATTACACCACATTGAATTAATCAGTCAGTCCTTATGTTAGGGGGTCAGATCCTGTGTTCCTGGCCAAAACAAAACCATCACTGAAGTGATCCAGAATGTAACATGCCTGCAAGCTAAACATATTTAGGACACATCCATACACCATCAGAAACTGCACAAGAATTCAGAATTAGGTGTTGCTAATTTGAAGTACATTCACTAATTAAAATCAGGTAAACAATGTCTATAGAAATTCATTACTTCCACTCTAATATACCTTTAAAAATCAGAACAGTATAATGAATCTGCAAGTCCTAATCAGCCATGATGTTTATGCATCATTAAAATTAAGCTTCCTGTTCTGCCAATGGATTACATTTCATATATAGTCACATAATTAGCATTTGTGCTATTCTGGAACTTCCTCACATCCTGTGAATCTCACATGCCACATAGTGCAAGGCAGTTGGGCATCTATCTTTCATCAGAAAATATGTATCTTTCTCATCAAACTGGCTTTCACCCCTTATGAAGAGGTGGATCAAAAGGGAAGGAAAATGTTAGTTTTCCCAGCACAGTTTAGCTTTCTTATTATTTCCTCCCCCCAATTATTATAATATGTGTTTGTCTAGCTTACAGAGTCTTAGGGCCTAATTCTGCTCCTGTTGATGTCACTGGGAGTTTTGCTATTGATTGAAAGGGGAGAAAGCTCTAGTTTTTAATATCCTTAATAGTCTTGTCTCAGACTGCTTTTGCTTTTGGCCCTGTTTCACTTTTTAAAGTAAACAAAACAAAACAAAAGCAAAGTGTAGCAGGTAATAGAAGTATGATACACTGCTTTATATTCACACACATAAGAGAAATGTAGACTAGAGGGAAGCACATATTGTAGGGAACACTCCTACCCTAACAAGGGATAGAACTGATGAGTGTTTTGCTTGTCTAATCTTTCTGCTGCAGTGAATATAGTAATCACTTATGCCCCATTTGAAACAAAAAGATCTAGTTTGGGGAAACATCCTGTTGCATTAGCAAACTCCAACAAGGGGTGATGAAGGCTGAGACGACCAATGATGGTAATTAATACCTAACCCATCTATCTAAATTGTAGACTGCCGTGCAAAGCCATTCTCTCGAAGTCTGTTATTTCTTTTTGCTTATTTATATTCCCACATGGCACAGGGGAAGGATTAGATAATATGCATGGGGCAAAGAATCTTTTAGTCATTTCTGGCACAGGGCTGAGTTTATGTGCAATAATTTCAGTGCAGTGAAGTTTTCTGTCAAGTCTTACATTACTGCTACTAACAGAGCTTCTCTGATATCGCTGACTTGGTTTGAAATATGAGGGGTAGATTTTGTGTCCTTTCGGCTGTAACAAAATTTGCGATAGTAAAAAGGAGAAAAGGTTGAACGCCTTGAAGTACCAATGCACCAGCCAAAGTTGCAGCAACTGCAAAATAACAATTGTCCCGCGTCTTTTCATTGCATTCGGGAGGAATCCGATTACTGGGGACACTCGTATGCCCCGAAAATAGCTCTGCGATACTTGTTTATTTGTACTTTTCTTTCTACATTGTATTTCAAATTAACGCAACAAAACCCACAAGCCGCGATTTGCTATCCAGTCAGCACGCCAAAGCTCTGTCTCGGAAGGCTGGTGGGAGGGAGAAGGGAAGTAACGGGAGTCATGCGGGTGTGTACGGTGGATCTAAACTGCCAAGGAGCTGGAATGGGACATGAGGGCTGGATTGCTGTAGTGTGGGAAAAGTCAGCCAGAAGGCCATTTATGCATCAAATTGTTTCCTCGCCAACCCGGTGCCTCCCAGTCCTTTCCCCTCCCCCGCTTCGGCCCCCATTTCTGTAGGTCGCAAGGTGTCCCTTTTCTGCAGGTCAACATGCTGGGCGTGTCCATTTGGAGGAAGAGAAAACATTACCGAGAAGGGTTACGGCTCAACTCTTCGGCAGACTGCGGTGGCTAGGGAAAGCCACATCGATCGCTGTGCAAGGAGGTACCTTTCCAGGCTGGATTTCTGCCTTTTGCCCTGATGCACTGATCCCTGCCAGGAGCTTGGGGGCATATTTTACCCTCGGCTCGAATTCTGCTCATTTTCCAGAGAGCCTAGCTCAGACAAAACCCTCCCATGCCCGCTGGAGGGAAGGCGTGTGTGTGTTTGTGGATCTTTTGACTAAGAGCTGAAAGACCGGGCCCAAAGTATAATGTCCTAACAGCAAGATTCTGCCCACTGACACCCAACCAATGATGCTGGCATCCCATCCCTCCCACCGGGGAACCCAGCTCCCTACCATTGTCTGTCCCATCAGCCCAGTCAACACACCCGGCTTTAAAAATTCCGTGTCAAGATCCCGGTTTCCCACCCCTCGGGTTTCTGTGTCCGGCCAGTACATGCAAAGCAAATCTGGCCATCCCTGGGTAGGACACAGAGAGAGAAACACATGCCAACTCGTCACCTGCAAAACATGCCCTCAGTCTGTAACTCCCCCCTCAATCACTGCTTGAAGGTAACCTGCAACTCTAGAAAGATCGCACGTGCTGAGCTGCCCTTGGCAATGCGAGACGCTGAAATCTGAAGCAGATCTACGCCCAGAGGGATGAGCAAGAGGGGGGACAAGGCAGCCAGGAGCTCCATTTCTCTCTACTGCTCTCCCTTCCTCCTCCAGAGCGGGGCTGGCCCAGCTGAAAGGGCCTCCCTCTCCTCCACCACACTTTTCCCTCGGAGGTCAATTTCCTCAATCGCAGGTCATTAGTCCCTAGGGAAGGCTGCCTTGCTTCTCCCATGCAGCAGATGTTTTGGTAGAAAGCCGGGAACTGGCGCTGCTGCCTCTTGCTAAGAGGAAATAAACCATATAAATATGAGGACAGGGCTCTTCATAGACGCCAACGCCCGGGGACCAAGCAGAAGACTGTGCCATTCACCCGGACCCTGGTCCGATGGAAGTTCTCCTAAGGTTGGTTGTGAGGACGAAGGTCTCTTAACAGAGACCGAATAGAATTCCTTTGGTTACAGCTATCGCATGATTATGATCACTTGTGTGTGTGTGGGTGGGGGGGGTTATTACGGGGGGGTTCTTTTTCCCTTCGTCTATAATAGTGACGCATTTGCCCTCTAGCATGTTAACAGTGCAGCAATTAACACTCACTTTATTAACTCTTCAAGTGTTTAAAATAGATACACTTTTTTCTAATCAGTAGGCTCAGCACAACATGTTGTACCAACAGTTTTTCAAGCAAGTAAAAATGTTTCCGAGAGAGAAAGAGACAGCGAGAGAGAAACTCCGTGTGTGTTTTCAGGAATAAAGATAGCGCTAGGAGTTGAGTCCCGCTTGGTCCTTCTTAGATTAACTTCCCTTGGCTGGGAAGAGGGGGGCGATCGTCAGATGCATTATTCAGTTATTGGTATCGTTAAAAGGGAATGAATCGTTGCAGAAGCGCCAGCTAAGACGGAAGTTGGGACGTTATTCAGACACCTTTGCTTTCTCTTGACACATGAAATGTTTCAGCCAAGAGAAACGCCGAGTCTCCGAGGCTCTCAGCAGAGGCTTAACACGCTGAAATTGAATTCAGTTATTTTTCTGTCTGTGAACAAAGGGTAATGCGCCTTGTTTCTCGGTCCAGTTATTTGTCTAAACTTGCCCTAAAGTGAGAGAAGCGTATTTTCTTTTCTTTACCAATCTAGCTGCTCCAATGCCCACCGCGGGATTTACAGACAAACAATGACAATTAGGACGTCTTACATTTGTCTCAGCAGATTAACTACAGTTAGAATCAATAGGATGAAAGCGTCCATCCCTTTCTGACTCTTCTCCATGTGGGTCTGAAGTCTCCTTGGAGTAACAATGACTTGGGCCCTAACTGCCAGCAGTTGCTTTTAGTCTGAGCAGTGCAGTTGGTCTTCATTTTTCATTAAACCCATCCCCAGACTGAAAATTCCTGTCAAGGTTTCATTCTCCAATCAGGTGTGTTGTTAAAGGGGGAGTCCAGGCTTCAACTTGAGCCAGTTTGCACATGTTAAAAGTACCACTGCCTTGTCTACATTACAGTTGTCGGAGGGGTTGGTTGGAACGTGCTTGCTAACACCGTCTAACCAAACACCCTAGTCAAGACAGACCTTCGCTGTCACTCTTCACAATTTATTCCCTACGCCTTTCCCTTTCACACACCCATGCAATCAGCATGTGCAGAGCACACACAAATCAATCCCAGGCAATCCCAGGGGCTGAGCAGCCTCTATTAACACCTGATCTCTACAAAACTACTCCTGGGGTCCAAAATACACTCTTCCTCATAAGCACGCCTGCCTTTGGCAGGCTTCTCCTGCCCGTCAAAGTCCACTCTTCCCAGCCCCGCAAAGGCGCATCCCAATGCACAGTATTTCTGTCCGGCCCCCACAGAAAGCACTCACATATGCCCACAAACAAACCCTACATACACATCGGTACCCAGACTATCTGGAACCCTCTTGCATTACACTTCTCACAAGCTCCACCACAATACACACACACACACGCAGGGCAACATAAAGACTTCCAGCTATAGACACAAACTGTCATCCTCCAACATCCCAACACACTCCTCTACTCCTCTCTCTCTCTCTCTCTCTCTCTCTCACACACACACACCAGTCTCTTACTGTGTCTGTTATCAAATATATACCAACCAAATAAAACGAATCGTTAATTTAACGGAGCCAGTTACTTACTCTAACAAACATTCATCGCATCTATATTAGATTTTGCTTGCAAGATTCTCTCCCTTGTGACTTGATGTTTGTTTCCTTTTGCCTGCATGTGTCCAGTTCTTTTATGCAGCTCTCAGTCAGTCCAATTCACAGATGACTTCCTTTCCCCCACCTCCTCCCATTCAGCGTATCGAAAGAAATACTTTGAGATCTGGGAGTATATAATGGTCTCTCTTCTAATTTGGAAACAATTTGAATGACCATCTTAAAAAAATACTTGTCAACACAAATTCAAAGTTTCCCTTTTTATTTAAAGTGCAAAGAAAGTCAAACGGTTGCAGCCAGAGAGATTAATTTCCAAATATTTTAAGCGAAAGAGACTGTTTGTGGATGGACAGTAGGTACCTTAATAATTACTTATTTAAAAACCCTACAACATTAAGGCAGTTAAGGTACAATTCAATTTAACAGAAACCTGCAAAGCAGAGTTAGTTGCGCGCCGAAATGATAAGCAAAGAGATTAAAAAGATCAGTGGCACATGGAAACAAAGGGGAACTCAAATATGTATAGAAAAAAGATTAAGAAATGAAGACAATTATTTTCTTTCGGGGTTGGAAAGAACAAAACACACACACACACACACACACACGAGAAAATAAAAACAAAGCAAACAATCCTCCTCTCCTTCCTCAGACAAATGGAATTTGCTACAACGTTATTCTAACACTGAGATGCTAGACTGAAAAATGACCCCAAGCAAATACACATCCAAATCAGACCCTCTGCTCTTTACTGTACACTAGATGCAGTTTTATGTTGGAAATTAGAACCAGGGGGAGGAGAAGGCGTGAACATGCCGTGATGAGTGCGTGTTGTCAATCAGAGAGGTTTTGTGTCTGCTTGACTCCTGATGGTCCATGGCTGAGGTGTCCCAGGGTGGCACCACAATGAATATGAATGGGAGTCCTTGCTAAATGGGACAGTCAAAGCGCACCGCCCTGAATAATTGCACGTCATCCTAACAAGACCATTATAGATAGGAGGGCTTCTTTTGTCTCTTTTCTCTGCTGCAGCGCTATAAAAGCCCCTCTTTTCCAGGCTGAGGTTAGTTCAAGCATACACCAACCAGCTATCCCGTAAACAGGCTGGGTAGCCAGCGGGAGAGATTAGAGGGAGAAAGGAGAGTTTTCCTCCTGTTTGAACCTTCCCCCTCCCCCACAGAGCCTGCAGTTTATTTTATTATTTTTTTAAACAATCCTATTTCACCCTCTCCAGAGCAGGGAAGAAATTTCTTGCTCCGAAGCCCCAATACAATGAATTCTGACTCCAGCTCTGTCTCCAGCAGAGCTTCCTCGCCAGACATGGATGAGATGTACCTGAGAGAGCACCATCACCACCATCACCACCACCACCATCAGGACAACCGGCTCAACTCGGTTTCCTCCACTCAGAGCGACCTAGGTGCAGAAGATGTCCGGGGAAGGCCTTTCCAGAAACGGCTCCAAGGCCGGAGGGGAAGGCAGCAAGTACAAAATCAAGAAGCAGCTCTCGGAGCAGGACCTGCAGCAGCTCAGGCTGAAGATCAACGGGCGGGAGCGCAAAAGGATGCACGACTTGAACCTGGCCATGGATGGGCTGAGGGAGGTGATGCCCTACGCTCATGGACCTTCCGTGAGGAAACTCTCCAAAATTGCTACCCTCCTGCTGGCCAGAAACTACATCCTGATGCTCACCAGCTCCCTGGAGGAGATGAAGAGGCTGGTGGGTGAAATCTATGGAGGACACCACTCCGCCTTTCACTGCGGGACAGTGGGACACTCAGGCGGGCACCCGGCCCACGCAGCTAGCACGGTCCACCAGGTCCACCCCATCCTTGGCAGTGCCTTGACTTCAGCCAACACCTCCTCCCCGCTGTCCGCCTCCCTACCAGGGATTGGCACGATCAGGCCCCCTCACTCTTTACTGAAGACTCCTTCTGCTCCTCCGGCCCTCCAGCTTGGCAGCGGCTTCCAGCACTGGGCAGGTTTGCCTTGCCCTTGCACTATCTGTCAAATGCCCCCTCCGCCACACCTGTCTGCCCTCACCACAGCCAACATGAGCAGGATCTCAGCAGAATCCAAGGACTTACTGAAGTGACTGTAACTGAAAGCTCCAGAGCCTTTTTAGCTATACCAGAGATCACACTTTCAAACAAGTTCTGTTGGGTGATGCTGCAGGAAGACTCCACACACGAAGTCCTGCGTTCGCATGCATGCTTCTTTTCCTTTGCTGGACTCCGGTGTGTTTCCTCCCACTGACATCCGAGCTTCTCAAAACTGCATTTGTTGTAACAAGGGATTAGTGTAGTAAGGACCTTACAAAGGTAATGTTTTAGTTGGATTCTCGGGCCATGTTTTCTTCTTATACTAAAACAAAAATCCCTGTTGTAAAAACAAAACAAAAAATGTAAATATTTCCTTAACGTGGATGCAAAAAAAAAAAAGACATGGTGGTCATTGTACTGTTCGCAGCTGCAAAGAGACGATGAGTTGTCTGGGGTTTGGTTTTTTGTTTGTTTGTTAGTTAGTTTTTAAAGGCAACACCTACATTTCTGGGAATCTTCTCTGCTCCACTCCAGGATATGACAGCTAGGAATTATGATGATTTTTTACACAATGTAGCTCAAAAGAATGCATGCATGCTTATAATTGAATCTCGTTTAAACATGTTGTACTGGCAATGGTGCAGTTTTCCTTGTAACAAGGATTTAATAGTGAATTCTCTAAAGCGTTTCATTTCCTTTCCCGTCTGTGGCTGTATAAAACAAGAAAGAGAAATAGTGCAAAACACGCACAACATCCCCAAAGCCTGTTTTGCCAGATCTCCTGCTTTAAGTGCAGTGTAGTAGTCAGCTGGCTGGGTTCCACATTGCCCCTTGATCAGTTATCTGCATGCAGGGTCGACTCTGGCCGGATTGGTCATTGTGTTACTCCATTGGACCTTTACTGTTGTTTTATGTTGGGTTTTGTTATGTTTTCCTGGGCATTTGCTTGAAATATTTTGTTAGGGCCTCAAAGACAACAACGTGTCTTTATTTTTTATATATTCTTGATAACTATCGATATATTTATTATGGACCAGTGTTTCTGGATGAGATTTCAAATAAAAAAATTAAATAAAAGTTCTGGTTTCGCCTTTGTCTGGGACTGCAAGACAAGAAAAGGAAAGCCTATCTATCTCTTGCTGTGACTTTTCTCAACAAACTGAAGAAGGCTAACAAGAACTGCCTTTAAGATAGCAATAAAAACGGAACCAATTGTCCAGCCTTCACTCATTTCTCTCCCCCCTCCCCCCGTGTGTTCCTGTGTGTGTAAATGAATTGCTTGAATTATAGGGCTATTTCTCTTTATACAGTATGGAAAATCTTTATGAATGCACAAAGTGATTGTCAAATATACAGAAGGATCCAAATGATATTTGGTGCAAAATGCAGATGCATTCACGGAAGAGAGGGGAAGCAGTAAGTTAACTTTTCTTTATGTCCAAATAACATTTATTTTCCAGGCTAAAAGAGATTTTAAAAACAAATCCGTTACAGAAAATCAACTATAAAATATTATAAGCTCAAAATGAATCTCAGAAGAAAAATGTGTTTATGGGTTGATTGGGTAGCAGTCACGAAATTCCCCATTTCTCAGATTTTTGTGAAGAGATTGTTATTTTCTATAGAGAGGATGTTTTTTCCATAATTACTAGAAAAGAATCAGATACTTATTGCACATTAATAATACAGGGAAATAATTGGAAATCGGACTTTTATTTTCCTTCCCTCTTCTACCCCATCTCTAACACCTCTCTATATTGCCCCTAACTTAGACATTATAAAAATTCTGTAAGAGAAACTCGACCATTTAGAATTGCTCTCAGACTTCTACTGTGCTAGGTACACGGAGAACTTTTGTCACTGCAAATTCCATGTGTTTTGAGCTCGATGACTTTGTGAAGTAGCGATAGTTATTGTTCGTTACTTAAAAATAAAACAAAACAAAACAAAAAACCAGCAACCACTTTATGGTTACTTAGAACTTCCAAAGAAGTTTCCTAGAAGGGATTTGAAACGAAGTCTGACCGCAAACCGAACTGTTTATGTTCAAATAAAAACGATCCGAAGTGAGTTTGATTTCTGATTCTTGTATGGGGTTCGGCGTTTAGGAGGAAAGGAACAGAGGGAGGAAAGTTTATGTTGTTCAATCTGAAAGAAACTCCCTATTTTCATTTTAACCGAAAACCTGCCCGTAGAGTCCATGGAATGGAGAAAGGGATAAAGCGAAGATCTAATTTGGCAGGGGGATTATTTCCAGTGGAGTTAGGCAGACAAATAGGGGGATAATGGTCTGTTTCCCTTTGGTGATTCATTCCGCTGGGTGATGAAGGAGCTGTCGAGTTACTCGAAACAAACAGAGTAACTCAGCTCCGTTCCTCTGGAAGTTTAATATTTCCAAGGTGGTGAGACCCGAATCAGTAAGTGAAGCAGTTTTTCGAATGCTTGTTTTAATACATTGACTGCGAAGTGCTACATCAATTGATCCCTTTGTAAACCAACGGAAAACACAAAGCAAATACATATTTGCAGTGGGAATATGTTACACTAACGAAAAGGGTCTTTTCGATTTAGTTTTCTCTATGTTTAAATTAATCCAGCGCCCTTCGAAAAGGAACTAATTAGTAACAGCCACATTTTCTTTCTTTCTTTCTTTCTTTCTTTCTTTCTTTCTTTCTTTCAACACAAAGTCTAACATGTAAATTGAAGACAGATAGGACATAAGTTAGAGCAAGCTCTGCACATCGCGGGCCAGGTCTTGTTCGTCTTACTCAAGCGAATTGTCCCATTGAATAAGGCGAGCAGGATTTGGCCCTGAGAATTGGGCGACGGGAGAGGGGACTTTTTTGACATATAACTAAAGCGTCTTTGGGTGCGATCGCCAGGAGGATGCAGCGCCACACGGGGAAAGTAGATGCAACTGGGGGATTCATATTTTAAAGAAAACTGCGATAATTGGTGAGACAAAAAGTGAGACCTGATGGGATCTGATGGAAATCGGCTTGCATTCGAAATCTGATCCCCCGAAAACGTTTGCGCATCCGGAACCCGGTCGGATACCCTTAAATTTGTGGGAAGGAGCTAGGAGAGACTAGGAGAGAAGTGTAGAGTTATCACCGTGTCCTTCTTCCTCTTTTGGGCTTGGGAGCTGGGTACCAAGAGGCTGAAAAAACAAGTGCTTGTTTATGGGAAACACAGGGACAAACCCAGATTAGAAAGGTCTTGGGCCAAATCCTGCCCGCTTTACACATACTCATAATCCCTCTGGGGGCTACGTTTTATTCTCAGTGACCCGAGTGTAAATTCAGAGCAACCCCACGGGAAGCAGTAGAGTTATTCCAATGAAACAACAGAAAGCAAACTGGCTGCAATGGATGAGTAAAGCATAATTTACTCAAAATGTGGGTAATCCTGGGGCTGGAGACCAGGGCCCAATAAAGATTTTAAAATGTTGTCGATAATAAGTTAAAATTAATGCTAAAGAAAGTGGCAAGAAGCTCAGTGGAAGGAAGATTTCTTAGTCACTGAGCTCTGATCTTTCAAACTCTTCTTTACACGACTCCTCTACGGGCATCTACATCAGATTCTGTCACTCTATAGACAGCTCTAGCTAGATGCTTAGATACTCCTTCTCTTTAGGGTCAAGTGAGGCCTAACAATGCTGAGCTCTGTCGCCTTTTCTCCCCGTGTGGATTCCCTCAAGACACACTTTAGCGTTTTCCCACCACACTGCCATTTAGCTTATGGATAGTGGCAATGGGGAGATTTCAGCGTGCGGGGAGCCTTGTTCCTTGTACTATGTTTGGAGACTACTCCAACTCGACCTGCCCGGGGCTTCTCATCAGCTGGGCACGTAAACACTTTGTCTGCTGACTCCCTGTTCAGACATTGGAAAGGAAAAGAAGAGCAGTTTTCTGCTTTTGAAAGTTCCTAACGTTTTATAGAGAGTGAAAAAAAGGACCCTTCATCCTGTCTCAGCTACTGGGGACACTATTTATTCCTTGGGGCGTTTTGCACGCTTCTAGAGTCCCACCGGCTTTATAAACCAGACACAATCCCCCCTCTGCTTTCTCACACCCTGATATTAATGGCGTCAGCCCCTGAGTCTGGCTCGTGTAAAGACTGTAGGGTTGGGTTTGAGGTCACTTTGTGTAGTTTCTGAGCTCGCTCAGCCAGGCACAACCTGCAAATCAACTGAGTGATCCTTCCCCTGGCGAAGAGAAGCAGCAAACGGCCGCCGGAGAGTGTTTTACCGCAGTTTCCTCTTTCTCTTAACTTTAAACCCCTCGAACCAACAACTGGGTTAGGTTGCTGCTCCCGTCCCAGCACTCCTGATGTACGAACTCTCTTTATGACCCGGGAATCTGCACGGGTCCCTTTCACAGCAGAGCCCAGGCAACCGGGGAAGCGGGCTAGGGCGCACACCGGTTCCTGTCCTAATGCCTAGTCGAGAAGGTCAAGCTGACAGCTACAAAAGCTCGAGCCAGCTTTGGAGGCTTCTATAAAGAAATACTAAATACACCAGCTGAGTGCTCTGGACTCAGGGGAGCCAGAGGGGGGCGAATCAAACGGGGGATTTAACCGCAAGAGCAGGAGAGTTTCGAACGAAATGTCCCATTCCCAGCCCCGGATCCTACGCGGCCGAGAGCTAAAATATATCCCAGGCTCCCTCCGGGCACGCGGTGGGCTGTATTTCACTGAGGAGGGGGGGGGGGGACAGCAGCTCGCTGCATCTCTCGCGCCTCTCTGGTGATTGGGATGGGAAAATCCCTAGCAGTTCGCCAGCCCCTGCGTGGGGCGGACAGGCACTCCGTGTGCGTGAGTGGGAGGGGGAATAAGCTTTAGAAGAGGGGCGGGGGGCAGCATCCAACTTCTCGGACGGAGAGATAAACTCTTTGCAGTGATCCGAGCAAGACACTTGGGCAAGGAGTAGCTGGTAGCTCGGCTCCCTTGTCCCTAATCTCACCCCCAAGACTAGAAACTTCAACCCGGCCCTGCACAGGTGCGAGTTTGCAAACAGACGCCTCAGGAGGTGCCCAGACTTCACTGGAGCTGGTTATTCTTCCAGACATTTCACCTCCTGACATGTGCTCGGTAGATACCCCTCATCACAGCCTCCGGGACCCTGGCGGAGTTCACACTGTCCCAGCCAGGAGGAGAGAGAGTTTGCTTCTCGAAGGGCGGATTTCAGGTTTTCCTACCACGGGGGTTTAGGATCAAAGCAGATAGGGAGGGTTTCTGCTTTGTATTTGAGCGTGGGGGTTGGCACAGTAAATTCTTATCTAGTTGTGGTGGGGAGGGAAAACCGCAACAGAGAGAGCTGCTGTGTTGTGGTTTTACAGGCAGAGGCAGGGAAAGGAGAGAGTGACAATGAAACCAGTCTTGCACAATTCAAATACATTTTTTCAGCATATCAAACCCCATACACAGCAGATTTACCAAGGCAGGATTTAGAGAGCATATTTCCCCCTAGGTCTAAACCAATGAGGAAATGCATTTATTCAACAAATCTATCTTGCTGTTAATGATAATATTCATGATTTCATCAGATGAACAGAGAACTATTTCAAATAATTCATTCATTGGTTTGGGAGGCTGGAGGACGCTGAAATATATTTTTTTCTAGCCAGCTCCTTTGGTTTTCCTTCAAGGTCTCTCCAAGTTGTCAAGCTTGTTTTTAATTTAATCAGACTTTTCCTACGGTCCAGCAAAGAGCGTTGGATTTCAGACAGTACCGCTCCCACCTCCCTGATCCTACGCCCTGCCTTTCTCCTGGCCCAGGGGACTCTATAATCTCGCCAAAGAGGAGTAACTCTACTCTTTACCACATGAAGTTTAAAGGGCTGGATTTTTTTTTAAAGCACAGATTGGGGGGGGGGAGATAGTGCAGTGGTTTGAGCATTAGCTTGCTAAACCCAGGGTTGTAAATTTAATCCTTGAGGGGGCCATTTAGCGATCTGGGGCAAAAATCTGTCTGGGGATTGTTCCTGCTTTGAGCAGGGGGTTGGACTAGATGACCTCCTGAGGTCCCTTCCAACCCTGACATTCTATGATAAAGTATGTCTCTCTCTGAGCTGATA